AAAAACTACGCCGAAATTAAAACTTAAAAAAGGTAGGGCGCCCCCTACGCATTTTTTGATCGGGCTCCCCTTGTTCCAAGGATAGTTTTAACATAAAAGGGAAACCTTTTTCCGCGTGGGCCGGTATACATTTAAAAAAAGTCGTCTTTTCAAAAAACCCTTAACAAGCATTGTCTGCCGAAGGCAGTCTAGCGCGGCAGGCCAAGGTAGGTACGCCAGGCGTGGATTGGAGGAACAGGCAGCGAGACATCGCGAAGCCTGTTACGACAAGACGCGGTCTGGCGTAAACCTACCTTGGCCTGCGGCGCTAGCCTGCCTTCGGCAGGCATTGGCTTATCCATCGTCGGTTGCTTCTTACGTGTTGCATACTGGGGGGCTCCGCCCTCCAGACCCCCCTTGATTCTAGTAAGAGTTGCTTCATCTACAGATAACACGATCTTGATCCTTGTAACTTTTTAACTTGTCGAGGCTGGGGGGCTCCGCCCCCCAGACCCCCCTTTCTTCAAGACAGAGGTGATCTCCCTGCAGAAAACTCGATTTTTCACCGTTTTTTAGGTGTTTTTCGGCTATAAAAACTGAACCAGTTGAGCTAGGATAGTGAAATTTCGCGTGTGCCGAGCCAAGAACATACCTAACAAGCCTGCAAAATCTCAGCCAGATCGGCCGAGCCGTTCAGGAGGAGTAGTGCACACACACACACACGCAGACAGACAGACAGACAAAACTTTTCAACCCCACTGGAGTAACGGGCTTCGCTATCGCTCAGCAAATAAATAGGAAATCTGAACCTGTTTGTAAAACTCGTTTTTAAGCTAGCGCACAAGCCTGATTTCTGGTTTTTTCAGTGTAGTGCAGTTTTAAGTGTGAAACTACTTTAACGACAGGTCTGCAGAGGTTTGTGATTCATGCCATTGTGTTCGTATTTCTACAATCGTTGGTTTTGATTGACAAGGTAGGTTTACGCCAGACCGCGTCTTGTCGTAACAGGCTTCGCGATGTGTCGCTGCCTGTTTCTCCAATCCGCGCCTGGCGTACCTACCTTGGCCTGCGGCGCTAGGCTGCCTTCGGCAGACAATGCTTGTCCATCATCAGTTACTTCTGAACTGTTGCATGCTGGGGGGCGCCCCCCCCCCTTCATTCTAGATAGAGGTGCTTCATCTACAAATTACACGATCTTGACTCTTGTAACTTTTCAACTTGTCGTGGCTGGGGGGCTCCCCCCTCTCATCCAGACAGGAGAGGTCCACCTACAGAAAACTCGATTTTTCGCCGTTTTTTAGGTGTTTTCGGCTATTAAAACTGAACCAGTTGAGCTAGGATGGCGAAATTTCGCGTGTGCCGAGCCAAGAACATACCTAATAACCCTGCGAAATCTCAGCCAGATCGGCCGAGCCGTTCAGGAGGAGTAGTGTACACACACAGACAGACACACACACAGACAGACAGACGGACAGACAAAACTTTTCAACCGCACTGGAGTAACAGGCTTCGCTATCGCTCAGCCAATAAAGTTTCTTTCTCTTTTTTCCACATTTTATGACCTGTTTACGCAACGCAGACTACGCCCTACCTCTTAAGGAAATAAAAGTGCGTCAATTGCAATCGTTTTATTTGGATTCTTTCAGCGCCACAGCAAGTCCAGGATCTCCGCGCCAGTCGCGTGAAGAGTCGTCGCCTTCGTTTGCAGTGGTCCCTGCCCTCCAATTTAAATTTCAACGAAAAGTCAAGTTTCTTTCGAGTAGAGTTGAAGCCAACTGATGTCAGCAAGCCTGTTCCTAGATCTCAAGACATTCCATTGGAGGAGCAGAAAGACCTTTACTCTTACCCGATCGCAAAGCTAGAGCCTAACACCACCTACACAGCGTCCGTGCAGATTGTCACCGACAAGCCGGGTGCAAAGGCTGTCATTACAGTCATCACCGATCCGTTGAACGGCAAGGGTGACAATGACGAAGAAGACGCCGATGAAAACGATGGTATTTCATTTAAAGAATTAATGCGAAGAATTTCCAATTCTTAACGATTCAATTGTTGTAAAAGATTTGCAGTTTATGTATATCTTTGTAAGCTCTTAAATCTCAACAAATTTGGAGGCGCTGCACCAATGCAGACATTATTAACATAATACATATGAAGAAACTTTTTTAAGTCATATGTCAAAGGGTAAAGGGAATGTATAACGCATTGATGAAAGAATAAAGCTTTGAAAAGATTGAACAATTTCTCGAAGCTACAAAATAACTTTTTACTCAAAAATCACAAACTATAACCCCAATTTTTAATAACGCTATGACAGACCTCTAAAAAAGTCAAGGATACCTGCACAAATGTAACCTTCGATCGGAAATAAAGGGCTGAATTCTACTCATAAGCTGAGCGTTGGTCGGGACAAAACAACCAGGTCGTCAAAAGCACCAGATCCACAAAAGTGCCAGGTGTCCGCACTGTTTAAAAAATTCTGAAAATTCAGATCAATTTTGTCAGACTTAGCAGTCTTAATCTGTAAATCAGACTTTCGTCTAAAAAATCGGAGTTTTTGTCATAGTTTTTGGACCCTTCGTCTGAAAGCTTGGTTCAGACTCGAAGAGTCCCGATTTTGTACCCATTCTCTTAATTCAGATGAACTTGCGTCAGACTTTTTAGACCTCAAGAGTCTGAATTTCGGAATCAGACTACTTTCTAACATATGTTCTAACAAAAATGAAAATTTGACAACTTAAGTCAATTCTAACATTTGGTTAACTCACAATCAGTCTTACATTTTATTCAATCCGACTCCGTTTCGGGGACTTAAAGTAGTTAGTCTGATTTGGAGCCGAGTCAAATGAGTGTCACATGACACTTTAAAGAAATTAATTAAGCATGTCCTATGGTAAAAAAAATTACTGAGCAGTATTCTAAGTGTTTCTTTTTGCGCTATTTGCTTCATGAGCACCTTTTTTCGGGACAATTAATACATTTTGTAATAATACAAATACAGTTTAGTTCTGCACTTGACTAGTTTTGGACCTGGGGCCAATTCCCGGCGATGAAGTGACGAAAACTTGATCCGTTGCTGCAAACAATTTTTGCACCTTGACACAGTTATTATTTCAGACGAAATGGTTTTACAATGCAATTCCATTTGTTTTTATAACCCGAATGTTCACGAAACCTGCAAAGAGAACGCCGCGTCTATCGTTCTTTGCGATCGGAATGTTGGCAACTTTGCCGACCCGGAAACATCTCTGGCGGACATGCAATTTAAAAGGGGGGAAACCTTTACATTCAGAATTCTGCTCAGTATTTTTTCTTAGGAAATTGTGACAAACCTCAAAATTGATCGAGAGTACTCAAACTAAAAGGTAGAAAATAACTTGCATAACTCAATTCACTGTTTGAATGTGTCGCCGTCCCGCTGCCAGCGCCACGCTCGAACCGCGCGCCACGAGCCGCTTCCGGGGCGAGATGGCGGCGGCAGCCCAGTAGCAGCCGATTCGGCCTCTTTCAGCCTCCTTTTTTGCTATTTCTCTATTTCTGTACGGCTGAAGTTCATTTTCAACCTGTTGATTCGTTGCGCTCTATAAAATATTCCTACCGAAGCATTTTGACCATTAACGTCTGCATTCGGAGATATCAGAATTTTTTCAAGTCTCCAATAAGAGCCCATGTTAATTTAGCAATTTTGAACGGGCTATAGTTCGAAAATGAGCATGGAAACGGGCATGTTTCTGGCCAGCGCTGTCTTCGGGACGTTCTCATCTTCAATTTGAGCCTACTCTCGACCAATTCTGACGTTTATTTAAAATTAGACTAACTACTTTAAGACAAAACGAAAGCATTTTACTCTCCGCTAGGTGGCGCCAGTGTCGGTAAAAAGCCAACTGTTGTTAAAAACGTTTTTTCTCTAAAATTTTCAATATTTCCAACCCGAAATAGCTATTACTCAATTGGCTATGACGAAACACTCGCTCCCGTACCAAATTTATATCTGTAGCAAACGCGTGAGTTTAACAATTGACATTTAAAATTACCTCTCACGGTTGGCTTCGTGCCGTCGTTTCCTTAAATGCGTCAGGCCAGCTCAAGATGAGTGCAGGGAAGAGTGCCACTTTGAGGACATTTCCCTTTACTCAATTTTTAGGCACGAAATAGCCTTATAGTATACCCAGGATTCAGCCGGCCCGAGATTCGATTTGTGTGGCCCTTTATGCATTTCGGAAATTTTCTTTACGATTTTAATGAGATTTTGTAGACTTGTAGAACTTTGAACGCTGATTCTGATGCTGAAATCTGGTTAAGAATTTGGTGGCCAATTTTGTGAAAATTGCTGTCAAAATCGCCGTTTCCATGGCAAAACCCGACTCGTCAAAGGAAAAAAGGGAGTGGGGGGAGCCGAGCCGGACCAATAGCGGAGCTTCTTTTTGGGTCTGTACAGCTTACTCCAAAAGCTGAAAAAGCACGTTCGAAATGAAAAATTTCTTTGACTGCAGGTAGCCAAGATGCAACAATAGAATTGGAGTCATTTCAAACGTGGCCATTTGGATCGGCCGGCCGGCCAGTGACTTTTAATGAAGTTGTCCCGCACCAATCCCGCACCGCTTCGTTGTTGTTTTTGTTGTTGTTTTGTTTAAAATTATTGTTCCCCTTTAAACCAGAGTGAATTGAGCCATTTAACTGCGTACCTGTGCACATGCATCACGAGTGGATACGCGCAGGAAGATGCCGCGGCACCGCCGATCGGAGCGCCCCCAGTGGCAGTGGTGGGGACTGGCGCGGGGCACCGTGAGACTGTGGCGCCCCTGGCGGTCGAAGGACTAAGTGGGTGGGTCGGAACGGAAAAAGTGGAAAAAACATTTGTGCGGACTTTAAAGTATTAAAGTATTATAGAAGTCTCTCTCTCTGCGCGTTGTCTCGACAACTGAACCCCACTGCTGCGGAATTTAAGGTGACTACTGTTGTTACTATTGTTGCTCTAATTGAAGTTTGCTCACATTTGTGATTCTACTTAACCCTTGTACTTAACCTTTCTTTTCAGTTATTCCTCTTGAGTTAATAAACAATGAAACAACACTTCTTCTTTACTCAAATACTTTACTTCAAATTAACTACCCAATTTTGTAACATGTAGTAACTATAACATGTAGTAATTATCAACTCATTAAAATCAACACAGTGGATAGTAATGAGCATAAAAGCAATAATAAACATGAATAAACATGAACATTTATAAAAATTTTGAGTGACTAAACTCAAGTCATAACAGTGAATACATACAAAATGTATCTAAAAGTAAAAAGATGAACTCATATATTTCTAAAACTAAAAACATGCTTAGAAAGGTGTACAATCATAACATTAATATACATGATCAGTCTCCATTTGGCTAGAAATACTAAGGACGTCTCTATTGTGAAAATCATTATTTCTTAATACCGTTTCCAACAGAAGTTTCTGACCATCACCCGGCTTCACAATGGCTCTTGTTGGCTTCTTGTTTATTTTCTTGGTTGATTTGAATTTTCTTTGAGGACTTATTCTTTTTGTTGCAGGATGTCGTGCTACCTCTTGAAAGCTGCCTAATTTGCTAGTATCTTCCCCCTGAGTTCGAATTAGCTTCTGGAGAAGCTTCACAAGTCGATCCGCTCCGGAAATGGCCTCATCCTGATGACTTTCATGGACCTGAAGTGCCAAACCTGCAGCCATTTCCATGGTTAACTTCAATCGTGCAGCCTTTGAAACCCCATCCCTGAAATTTTGCTGGTGAGCTGATTCTTTTGTAATGGACTGAACTTCTGCTTCTTCAATAGTGATGTTGATTGGTGTTTGTGATTTTAATTTGTAATGACCAATGACTGCATGAATGTGTTTACATATGTTTAATCCGATGAGATGGTTTTCGCATGTGCAGGAGACCTGGTGGACACATATCTGGCAGATAGGACATTGGAGTGGGCAGCCTTCACACTGGTCTTCATTTAAGGTGACTGCGTATGGCCCCCTTAAAGATGACTGAGATTTTACTCGCCATTCAGCATCATGTACCTGCTCAATTGCATCTGGTTTTATTTCTGCGCTCTTCTTGTGGCTTTCTGTTATGGCAAGCATTCTGGAAGTCGGCTTTTGTTTGTGATGTCGAATTAGCCTCTCAAACATGAGGTTCTTGCTGAGCTTGAGAAGGGCGGCAATGCAGTTATCCATCCTACGGTTCGCCTTCCCATCAAAGTGGCAGTACTTGAGTTTTTTATGGAGCGCCTCCAGGTACATGTTTGTGTTCAAACCAAGTTTGTGGCGAAAGCTGAAGGCCCACATGGGAATGCGGTTTGCATAGTACTGCCTGAAGTATTTACCAAATTCTTTTGTTTCTTCATCATTTTCACACATCTGAATGAAGCTTTCTGCCAGCTCTTCTAGGTCTTCAGCCTGCTTACACTCCAAAAGCACTCTACATCCTTTGTATACTTCAGGAGCTTTGTTTTCCTTAACTTTTTGTTTCAGCTGCGTCCTCCAGGATCTGTCAACGTGCCATGTGCATAGCAACCTGTGATTTGCTGGGGCCATCACGACTTCCCATGCATTATAGTAGGCTGGGTAGTCATCAGACATGAAGACGTTGCATTTGATTCTGCCAACTTGGTTTTTAACTGCTTCAAAGAATACTCCAATGCTCTCAGTATCAATGCGGTTGCTGATGCAGAATGCTACTGGACAGCCAGCTCCATACTCATCGACAGTCATGAGAGTTGTCAGTTGAAAGTCATAGTTATTCGTTCCATGAGTGCTGTCGATAAGGATTTTGTCACTGCTATACTTTCGAACGAGCTCCTTTTGATATTCTGTCATTAATACAATCATAAAATCTTCGTCTCTTAGCACTTCAGATGGATCTTGTTTGTGCTGGCCTTTGTAATAGGCTACCATGTTCGGGTTCTTTTCTTGCTGTTCTGCAACCCACAACTCAACACTAAAGGCATCATTATCATGAGCTCGGTTCTTATCTAGTTTAAACTCTCTAATTACATTGAGCAGGTCACGCTTCTCAAGCAGGTGCATTCTTGTTAGTCCATGTTCTTCACTCACACTGTCTCTTACTTCGTCCAGAATGTCATCCATTTTAACCTTCGATTGCAGTTTGGCAGCAAGGATGGCCCTTTGATTTTTTGAGAGACGCAAATGACCCAAATTGAAGTCATGACCAACATGTTTTTCTTTGTAGATAACCGATACTTTTCCATTTGATTCTGTTGCAGTTAGTCTTGCTGGGCAGTAATGGCTTGTCTTTGGAGACCCCTTCCACCTGATGCGGTCTGGATCCTGCATTTTTCTTGAGTGACCTGATCGATGGCAGTAATAATAAGTTCGGTCACCATCCTCTACTGATTTCGTTCCTTCATGTTTTACAAATAAAGAGTGAGTCTTCCTCTCCGTCTCCTCTTTCCAAGCATAGAAATCTGTCAGGAAAAAGGTTTCTTTTTTAAGCAATCAATAAAAGTACCTGTGAAACAATATGAAGTGAACAGTCCTATCATCCTTACCATCCATATTCTCAAAATTAATGTGAGAAGAAGATAACTCAATTCCATGACCATGTTCCAAGTGTAAGTCCATACTGCTGGACTTTGGAAACTCGGCCGAACACTCGGGACAGAGCAGTTTCGTGCGACTTGTGTGTAGACTGAGGTGGTGTTGGACTCTTAAGTGGCGGTTGAGTGCAGAAACACTAGAGTACACTTTGTCGCACACGTAACAAGTCGCTCCCTTCTTAGGCTCACTGCTTGACTCAGTTGGATCCACACCATGTTTGGATCGCATATGCCTATACAAGGTCTTCTTGTGCGCATATGTAGCTGGACACCTGAGACCAGACAAGAGAATATTTTATAGAATAACAGGAAAAGTAGCGATATACATCGGCAACTTTGGCCCGTCCCGTACATTAACAAATGTGTGAATTTCGCCTTTGTTTAACCATGACGGGTTTGAACCTGAGTCTGGGGTCAAAATAGATGTTATTTTCGTCATCAGCGCCCTCAAAAACATAAGAAACAATGCAAAAACTCGAATAAAAAGAATGTTCAAAATATACCCCACTGGGATTTGAACCCGGGTCAAAACTTCTCCGATTCGCTTGAAACTGGCACCGTTGGTTTTGTCTCGTCGCCCCGATTCCAAAAATACCCCTACATGCCCTGCTAGCTGTGCCCGTTGCAAAAATCCTCCTCGACCCCATGTAGACCATGATGCACCTGCAGCAGCGCCCCCGGGGCTCGGATCGGATTTGCTGCCACCGGGCGGTTCTTAGGGTCACCCAAGGAGGCTGCATACCAAATTTGGTCAAGATCGGACCACGGGAAGTCCTCGGACGAACGAACGGACGAACGAACGGACGAACGAACGGACGCACAGCATGCATCATACTATATGCCCGTCCCTCCGTCATTTTTTTTACAAAAAATAAACGGGACGGGCCAAAAATGATCAAAGTAGTCTAAGGCTGCCAGTGTTGTTACTCACAGTGAACATGCTTCCTTTGACGACATCTTCACAGGTTGACAGACAGAACAGAAATGACCGATAATCGCGCGCTTTCCCCCAACATTTGTTTTGCTACTCACTTCTTTTGTTCTGCCAACTTGATTAGTTCCCTCCTTTTTCAAGCGGTGTGTTCCCTTCCCCGCGCCAGTTTGAAATTTCGCGCGAATCTGAAAGCACCATTCTTCCCGTCTCGTCCGCCAGGGGCGCCACAGTCTCACGGTGCCCCGCGCCAGTCCCCACCACTGCCGCTGGGGGCGCTCCGATCGGCGGTGCCGCGGCATCTTCCTGCGCGTATCCACTCGTCATGCATCTGTGAATTATCTTTCCTTAATGTAATTTAAGAGTCGCTTTAAGACTTTTAGTCTCTTTTTGAATAAGCTGGTCATGTAGCTCCTCCTTTTAGCCAGGTTTGTTGGTACTTCTGATTCAGTTAGCACCATGATCACTTCGCTCCACCTCGCGACTTTCAGTGCTCATGTTCCTCGAACAAGACTCACCCGCGTTTCGAGACCATCCCTGTCGAGTTTATAAAGTTTGTCAAGCCAACCGTCGTGGTGTTGCTACGTTGTGAGTGAGAACTATCACACAGAATTGAAGAAAACATGACTAGAGAAACGTGGCCTTTTGAAACAAGCCAAACAATTCAACGTCAGCAACAATGGAGGGGTGGTTTTAATTCGCGACTATACTCGTGTTTTCAGCTTCGCGATTTTCGCAAGGGCGCAGACGCTGACAAAATTGTTGCCAACCCGCGAAAATTAATTTACTGCCTTCTTTCTGCTACCAAAATTTTCATAATGATGGACTTCAAAGATGTTCCTTTGTCAGATCACTGTGGAATACATTAGCAATAGAACTTTTCGAATTTCCCGGCATTTTCATTTCTCTTTATTGCCAAGGAAAAAATATGACGGGTGGCACTTCAACCACATTGGTACCACTGCCGTTCGTAGCTACCCTTGAGCCACCCCCTACCTTTTACATAACTTTTTTGCTTTCCCAACACTCCCACCCAAATTGACTTCGTGACTCCTAGGATTTCTTGAAATCGTATTTTTTCCTAGACGGTCCCGTGGAGTACGTCTCTCCTTTAAGGTTCGGATGAAAACATTATTATTTCACCGAGTTATAGGAACACTTTCCTGCTGCCACTTTAAAACAAAACAATCTAAAAATTGAGAAAATTTTGTCCGAATTTTTCAGCAAACGACCTGCCTGAGAGGTTAAGACTTATGTTAGTCTGAAAATTTCAGACCAGGTTTAGTCTGATTTTTCAGTAGGATGTTCTGCATATCTACTTCAGACAAAAAAATAAAAATTTTCAGTTAATTTTTTTAAGAGTGCACCTGCCCGGCGAGACTCCGTGCGCACAGGCCAGTGTGAGTTGGCAGGCCTGAGGCCAGTGCGTAGTAACTCCGGACTCATAGGATTGTTGGCTGAGCGATAGCGAAGCCTGTTACTCCAGTGCGGTTGAAAAGTTTTTTCTGTCTGTCTGTCTGTGTGTGTGTGTGTGTACACTACTCCTCCTGAACGGCTCGGCCGATCTGGCTGAGATTTTGCAGGCTTATTAGGTATGTTCTTGGCTCGGCACACGCGAAAATTCACTATCCTAGCTCACGTGGTTCAGTTTTTATAGCCGAAAAACACCTAAAAAACGGCGATAAATCGAGTCTTCTGCAGGCAGATCACTTCTGTCTTGAAGAAAGGGGGGTCTGGGGGGCGGAGCCCCCCAGCCTCGAGAAGTTAAAAAGTTACAATGGTCAAGATCGTGATATCTGTTGATGAAACAACACTATCTAGAATGCGGGGGGGTCTGGGGGCCGAGCCCCCCAGTGTGCAACAAGAAAGAAGTCGCCGACGATGGACAAGCCAATGCCTGCCGAAGGCAGGCTAGCGCCGCAGGCCAAGGTAGGTACGCCAGGCGTGGATTGGAGGAACAGGCCGCGAGACATCGCGAAGCCTGTTACGACAAGACGCGGTCTGGCGTAAACCTACCTTGTGTTATTTGACCGAACTGGAGGAGCACGGCGACAAGGTACCGTAAACCGGGGTAACTTGAGACAATATTTCACGTTTTTTGGACCGTGTGTCTACAAAACTGCTCTCACCAACCTGAATCCTAACTATGTTTAATTTCACATGACTACAATCGGTTTGGAACCCATGAATTTTTTGGGGGTGACCTAAAATGAGAGTCATGGGCCTCTAAAGTTGTCTCAAGTTACCCCGTCATATGGGGTAACTTGAGACACACCTATAATTTACTTTGCTTCTTAACGGAAGTGAGGTTTTTGCCGGTCCAAACTGATTTCCTGAGACTTTTATCTTATTTTCAATGAAAAGTTCGACTTGTGGAATATATTAGAAGATTTTTGATCCTTATTTTAAGATTTTTTCATCAAAGTTACATTTGGTAATTTGAGGGATAACGGCACTTCAGAGCGCAACGATTCTCCCATTTCACATCCAGCTCTGTCAACTAACAAGGTAGGTTTACGCCAGACCGCGTCTTGTCGTAACAGGCTTCGCGATGTCTCGCTGCCTGTTCCTCCAATCCGCGCCTGGCGTACCTACCTTAGCCTGCGGCGCTAGCCCGCCTTCGGCAGGTAATGGCTTATCCGTTGTAGGTTACTCCCAACATGTTGCATGCTAGCGGGCGCCCTCCTTCCCCCTTCATCCTAGATAGGGTTGCTTCATCTCCATAAAACCCGATCTTGACCCCCGTTACTTTTTAACTTGTCGAGGCTTAACTTGCCTGCAGAAAACTAGATTTTTCGCCGTTGTTAAGGTGTTTTTCGGCTATAAAAACTGAACCAATTGAGGTAGGGTAATGGAATTTTGCGTGTGCCAAGCCAAGGCTATACCCAACAAGTGTGCGAAATCTCACTGAGATCGGCCGAGCCGTTCAGGAGGAGTAGTGCACACAGACATACAGACAGACATGAAAAACTTTTAAACCCCACTGGAGTAACAGGCTTCGCTATCGCTCAGCTAACAATTTTAGGCTTTTAAAGCGTTTTAAACGGCACTCAACGCCAAATCGGTCGAAAAACTAGTGAATTTCACCCTTTTTGGCCCGTCCCGTTTATTTTTTTGTAAAAAAATGACGGAGGGACGGGCATATAGTATGATGCATGCTGTGCGTCCGTCCGTTCGTTCGTTCGTCCGAGGACTTCCCGTGGTCCGATCTTGACCAAATTTGGTATGCAGCCTCCTTGGGTGACCCTAAGAACCGCCCGGTGGCAGCAAATCCGATCCGAGCCCCGGGGGCGCTGCTGCAGGTGCATCATGGTCTACATGGGGTCGAGGAAGATTTTCGCAACGGATACAGCTAGCAGGGCATGTAGGGGTATTTTTGGAATCGGGGCGACGAGACAAAACCAACGGTGCCAGTTTCAAGCGAATCGGAGAAGTTTGGACCCGGGTTCAAATCCCAGTGGGGTATATTTTGAACATTCTTTTATTCGAGTTTTTGCATTGTTTCTTATGTTTTTGAGGGCGCTGATGACGAAAATAACATCTATTTTGACCCCAGACTCAGGTTCAAACCCGTCAGGGTTTAACAAAGGCGAAATTCACACATTTGTTAATGTACGGGACGGGCCAAAGTTGCCGATATATATTGCTACTTTTCCTGTTATTAAACTTGTGAGTACACTGAGTACGGGCAAATGTGTACACATGAATACACTAGAGATTCACCCCTCGCGTTACGCAGCATTATAGATGCGTTACTGGAAGTTTGAATGCGAAGGGAAGCTTCTCTCTGTCAAAAGGGGGGAAAGACGCCTAAATAACGCTGTGTAACGGTGCCTTTCTATGTCGTTTGTAACGTAACTGTAACACTTAACGTGAAGTTACCGGGCCCTGGATTCACCCTTGGTTACGCGGCGGCGGCTGCGGCGGTGGCAGCTGGGGTACGTCCTAACGCACCCCAACGCACTTCCAAGATAATGGCTTTTCACTCTCAAAATTATGTGTCACTTGTTCAAGATTTGTTTTAGAATATCAATGTCGATTCATGTGCAAAGGACTGCCGAAGATCTGCAGTCAATTACCTAAACGACTACTAATTTTGAATTTCCATCATTTTAAGTTTCAAAGACTCGAGTTTAATGAATTTAAGTATTTTACTCTTGGATGTTCAGTGCCACTCCAAGCAAGTCTTGCTACAAAGTTTAAATAACATAGAAAACACTAAGTATGCTTTTGAGTTTTAAAATTCTTTTTTCTTTTTTAATCAAGAAATTTTCCTAATTTTTTGTCTTATCTAGATGACTTGTTAGACTACAAGGTAGGTGTACGCCAGACCGTGTCTTGTCGTAT